AGAGCAAGAGACGAGTGCACCCCCTCCTAAAAAAAATCCTGGATCCGCCCCTGAAGCGTGAAAACTGACCACAGTCAATCAAACACTCGATCCTGGATGATACTAGTGCGACTTTTTAGATTCATTCCTTGGCTTCTTTTAGGAGCCAAAGCGAGATACGTAAAGGGAGTCCTTTGTCTGAAATTAGTTGCTCAATGTGTATACTTATGTATACCAATAAAAATTCTGAAGGGACCTTAAAGTTGTCTTCATAAAACACAACCAATGATAATATAACTCTGAGTTCAGTTTTCAAGAACAAGTAAAATTATTCTCTTATACCTCTAAAACTGAAGGGCGAAATGAAACAAACATGCAGACACCGAAATTCTGTACAGCCCTTTGACGAATGCAATGAAAAGAGGAACATAACTGATACTGAAAGTGTAAAAACACAAGGAGGCATGTTAAAGAAGGGAATCCAACAGTCCACTACCGTCTTGGATTCTGGATACCACGCTGTGGATTCCGCATTCCAGTCTTTATCAGTGGAACTTGGATATTGGATTTTAATGGTTAGTGGGATTCTTGATTTCTTGAACTGTATTCCAGATTCTAAAGCCCAGGATTTCCTATTCCACAAGCAAACATTTCCCGCATTCTGGAATCTAGATTCCCTTACACGGGGCGATCTAGACGTTTGCTTTTACAAGCCATAGTGTTTATATACCGTTCGATTTTATACAGTTTTCTATTTAAGCACAAATATTTCGACCCTCAGGCAGGGATGAACATGGTGAGAAACTGGATAAAACCGAACAAATCTGGCTTTCACTTTATGCTTGAGTGAGTGTTTTACAACAGTATTTTGATCCTGGTTTCCTGGAAACACCTACAAACGAAAGAGAATAATATCACTGAAAGTAAAAAAGACGACATAAAAACAACATTTACAAAACTTTTTTACACTAGAATACATTTGTCAAGAGTATTTTCGAAGAAACATATCCCAGCTGAAGGCTAATTTTTTTTTTTTTTTTTTAACTCTTGGAATGCTCAAAAGTTCCCTTTTTCTTCAAAAATAGGAAGCTTTCATGGAACATGAGAGCGACGGTAATATATAGATTTAGCCAGGGCTAAAAGCGAAGCTCCCGTTAATAAATTCATAATTTAAATCAAACAATAAACTTGTAATCCACAGATAGGGCACATTCATGTGACTTTTGAGGCAAATTAAGGCTAAGTGATTTTAGACAAAAATAATTTAATGATTTTTTGTGTTCGACAAGTTTAGTTTACAAGTAAATCTGGTGGCGTGTAAACCAGCCTTTTAAACATACTTTTTCTCAACACGTCTCCGGTAAACAGTACTATGAGGCCCTTTTTTATCATACAGACCTTGGACAGAATTTGTTCTTTTTTTGCCCTATCATTCTGCAGTTTTTCACAATTTTGTAAGACAATTTGCACTCATTCAATATCCACGACGTCAAAGCAAGCGCTTCCTTTGCAAAACAAATTATAGCATTGAATTATCAAACGTTTTCATGAAAAGAATTCCATAATGCGGGACTTTTCCGTTAGAAAAATCTGGTCCTATGTGATATGCAGGGTAATAATTATGGGCTTTTAGCATGAAAACGATAAAAAAAATTCCCAAAATCACCTTTTCGGCCAGCCGGACGGGTTCTCACTTTTGACAGGCAAATTTGCAGTGCGATTAATAGAGTTACCATTTACGCTTCAACACGATAGGGAAATTGTTATGTTTAGGTTTTATTTCCCTTTATTTATTAAACTGTGTATGTGGTTTTGTTATGTGTAATCTTTAAAAGCGAGTGATATTTACGCGCGGCGTTTTGAGTATTCCTGTATGCGATGTTTATGTTCGACTGCAAACAACCGGTGCAGCGATAAAAATTGCGGGAGGGACTACTAACAATCAATAAAATAAATATAATTCGGTGAAACATGTACAGAGACAATAATTTTCATTCACGAAGAGAAGTATTGAGAGTAAAGTGTCTCTGAAAATCATGAGTCAGGTAAGCATAAACTTGTTTATGTTTTAAGCCGGCTTCCTGGTGTTTGCTCTTTTTCAAGATGAACTCGAGGCAAGAAAATCGCTCAGAGCTTTCTGTTTATAGCCAAAATCATAACTAAATAATCTTTGGAACCTTTTCTTTGAATTTGCGGTCAAAAAATGTCTAAAGGCTTTTTAAACCTGATACTATTGTTGGTTAGATCATCGCTCGTGTATAAACTTAAGCCGCATAAACCATACGCTCGACTTCAGGAAACCGAAAAAAAAAAACACTTCAAAGACAATAATTGCTCAGGCTTACCAGTCGAGATGCTGCTTCTGAAGGTCATCAAGTGTTCCAGAATCGCTGGAGACTTTTCAACCCTCTTACGCCTCAAGCAAGGACAAGTGAGGAAGCTCATTCTTGAAAACAATGCCATCCGAAATCGGATTTCCAATGACTTTCACAACCGGTGCATTTGTCAACATAAAGCGCAATAAACAAACCAGCCATGAATTACAGAACAATCTTGCTAGCAGCTGTATTTCATTTTGTACACCAAGTAGAAAACGACAGTTTAAAACATCACAAGATGACACAAAACTCGGTCAGCTCCAGCTATCAGTAAGCAAGTTTCCAGACGCGGCATAAATTTTCCGCATGAACTCACCTGTCAAATTTTGACCAATCAGAACATAAAAGTTGGACGTAGAGCGTGATCAACGCGTGACAGTGAGAAAAGTCACGAGCGATTGCCTAACCTGCATGTAAAAGCGGGTTGAATTTTCGCGTCCGAAGTCAGTTCGAAATCAAAATTTTAAAACGGACTCATAAACACGACTTATTTCATATGCATTTTAAAAAAATTGAACTAGAGCCTGCGATCATGTGAAAAGTAGCAACTTGTCAGCGTATACCTTCAAAAAAACATCAAACTCAGTGGGTCGATACCTGAGTCCGCAATACGGTCAGGCGATACTGGTCAGCAGAAACACTATTTTGACAGCTGTCAATTAATCAAAACATGGATGTACAATATCAGGTTGCAGGCTCTCAAATTAGCAAAGAAAGTGTGAGGTTAAACATTGGTATGACTGTGGCGCGGACGGTCGGGTGGTCGGTGTAAGGTCACGTGATTGCCGAATTTTGTAGGATGGATAGATTTTCTAACCTCTGGGGCTTCGAATTGAGCACGTGATCAAATAAAATATCAGCGCAAAACTTTAAACACTACGTGAACTCAATGGGTAGAAAAATGAGCCCGCGATACACTCAGGTGATGATGGTCAGCGTATACTCTAGTTTGACAGCTGTCAATTAACCTTAATTAGATTGGCGAATATTCAAATTAACAGACTACCGGTGTGAGTAAGGCATATCCGTCCGGCTTGTAGTAGAAAATGCCAGATCGTGTACCTCAGCGAACCTGAGCCCACGTTATTAGTTTTCTGATACTGGTCTGCACATGTCCTGTTTTGACAGCTGTCAATTGACCTTAATTTAGCTTCCCAATATAACTTTAAACGACTGTCAGCCAACTGACAGCCTTGCCCGGCGTAGTTTCGTTTTTATGTTTAATTGGCAAGTGTGACATATTATAACAGCTTATATGTAGGGGCAAAACGACTGGTTTTTCATCTGAGCCCGCGACATAGTCATGTGATAATTGTCAGCGGATGTCTGATTTTGACAGCTGTCAATCTAATCGTACTCATACGGATGGCTTACATAACTGAAAGGCTAGTCAAGTTGTGCAAGATCTATTGTGACATTTGACATCGGCTTAAATGAAGTGTGTGTACGGGTGGGCGTACGCTACGTCATAACCAAATTTTCTGGGATGGATAGTTTACCAAATTTTCTTACCCATGGTGCTCCGCTGCGCGCGCGCTTCGCGCGCGCGGGAGCTCCGCTAACAAGAACAACAAACAAACAAACAAAGCGTAATGCACGTATTAAGCTGATGTCTTTGCTAATCCATACTATTGTTGTTTGTTGTTATTGTTGTCGCTACCGTCGTGGTCAATTAAGCTTTGAAACGCGGAGTTAAAAAATTACAAAATGCAGCCATAAACTTTTACATGTTTCCTTCTTTTCTCATTTTGGCGCTTGCACTGGTTTTGCTTGGGCGACTTGCGATTGGCTCAAGTGAACAATATCATTCGAGCAAATGTATTTCCAGCAGGGGATGCTAACTTTGGCCAAGTTAGACAAGGCAAGACAAGTCAATATTTTATTTGGGGTCTTGTACCAGCCGGTTATGTCGACTGTTTTCCAAATAATTTAAAATTACAATCTTTTGTGTTAAGCTATTTATTACACTATACATAACAAAATATGACAGATAGCGGTAGTTACATACACACAGACACATATTTTGATCTACTTTTTGTCTTCGATATTCCTTCTCGTTTCTTATTTTAAAGCAATCGAGCACATGCATGTAAACATAGACACCCCAGGACACCCGGGATGGATTTGATTTGTACAGCGCACAGGCCTCATTTGCTCGGCCGCGCACCACTTCGGCGCAACGACTTTTGGCCTTTTTTGGATTATATCCTTCGAGTTTGTCAAAGTCTTCTGGACTTGCTTCTCTAGCTGGGAACGCTTCATTGGTTTCTATAGCTAATGCTAGCCTGCGTGGCAGGCGCAAAAAGGGGAGGGAAGGGGGTGGGGGAAGGAGAAAAGCGCGAAAGAGGGAAAAAGGGGAAAAGGGAATCCCCCTCTTTTTTCCCTTCCTCCCTATCCCCTACCCCTTTCGACGCCTGCTACACAGGCTGGCTGATGCTTAATACTATTTCTAGGACGCTAGCATTTTTATTTGCCGTTGGAATTCCGGAGACCCTTGGAATATTACAAATTGCGACAGCAATAGCAATTTATTTAGGGCAATTATATATTACAAATAACACCACAAAACATTGCCGTACACTCTACTGCAATTTAGAAAAGGAGAAAAAAAGGGGGCGAAAGAGAGAGAGAAAGAAAGACGAACTAAGAGAACTTAAACAAAGTATTAAGTGAAGTTAATAAGCTTACTCTTTCTGCATTGTTTTCTTTGTACGTGTTCCAAGTGACCGCTTGTGACGAAACATAAACTTTGTAGCCGGTGGTCCATGCGCCACTACAACTCTTACATCCTTGTGTTGCCAATGCACAAATAGAATATTCCTTACCCATATCAACTTGAAGGTAGTCTGTTCTGTCAGTCGTAGTCTTTGTACACCATGTTCCGTGTCCTCGACTTCCATGCAGCCGCCCATAGTATGGGTAATAACTGCTACTATAGTACGTGCTTGCCGTCATTCTAGCGTCAGGATTTGAGCTTGTGCTTGCTACTCCTAATGGAACACATGCTGAAAAACAAGAAAATGTCAGTTCGATTCGAACGATTATAATGATTGTTAAATCATTACGATTACAAATAAGAATATTACCAAACAGTGGCTCTTAAACTTCGGAGCTCGGGACCCCAAAATTGTGTGTTCTGCAAAATCTTAGACTGCTGCACAATGTTTGAATATGATTTACACTAACGGCGGAGTTTAATTCGGAGTCGTATAATCGGAGTTAAAATAGTCAGGATTATCAGCAAGTGAGAATTTTAAAAAAAATGTTGTAAGGGAATTCATTAGCTCGATGGCATCACAGGAGAAGGAATAAGACCATTTTTATTTGATTCCGACTCCACTCACGATTCCATCGCTTACGATCTAGAAAAAAAAAATCACATCGTCGAAGTCGGAAGACTTAAAAGACGAAGGCTCATCCCCACACTTCTCAAGAACGGCGATTTTGCACGCATTATAGTGCCCGATCTGTCAGCGGTTTTAAGGAAGGTGGTATTTTGAGCAGCAGTCTTTAGCAATCCGGCGCATAAGGGGGGGGTGGGGACCTATCACGCATCACGCTGACCTTTTTTAGGGCCTCACACATCACGTAAATAAAGTGCAATTGCACTATTTTAACATAGCAATATCTCTCCTACTGAATGAATCAGGTCCATTAAATAGTTCTCACATGAGAGAATGATTCTCTGTTGGTTCTCAACGTCATTTTTGGGTAGGATTACGCGTTAACGGTTAGTTGAATGACCTTAATTGTACAAAAGGGTTCATTGGAATCTGGAGTTGTTCAAATATTAGACAGTCTAAGCTTACGGCAAACGGCAAACGGCAAACGTCAGATTCAAGCTGAGAATTTCTCAAAATAGAAAATGAGCAGATAAAAAAAGCTCAGAAAAATTCTTATTGATAAAAAATTGCGTGAAACTACTAATTTACCGTATTTATTCGATTAAAGAATAACCCTAGACTCATTAAGCAAATGCAGTGATAATCAAGGTTAAGCAAGCCTAACAAAATATTTTCCTTGATTGTAACAATGTTTTAAGATCAGTACATTCGAAGCTCAAAGGAACATAATCAAAACACGACAACAATATACGGTAGTTCATCTTATTGTAATTACGCTTTGGAAATTTGCTTTCATTGATAACAATGTTTTTCAGCTCGAAGTGAAATTCAAATGTTCAGTTACCTTACTATTGTTTGCAAGAAATCAATTGAATTTTAAATTAACGCCGCCCTCGAATAAACGCTGCCCTCGAATCACGAAAAATCTAATAAACGCTGCGGAGTTTAATCGAATAAATACGGTATGTTCAATGAATACTGCACAGTAAACGCCAAGTAAAGGGGAAACTTGTCAAGGGGTACAAATTCGCGTTTGCCGTTAGACGTAAACGTGATGCTTAACCTCTCTATTAACTATATTAACCATGCAGCACGATTCCAGGAGTTCAGATAGTAGAGCGCGGAATTTAGATGGTGGGGAGCGAGTTAAATCGTACTCGGAAAAAACGAGGGGGAAAACGAGGGGAGAATAGGGGGAGAGCGAGAGTTTCCTCCATAGTCGCCGTGCAGTCTCCCCTCGTTTATGTTTTTTTTTTCGTCATAAATTTTCGCCTGCCTTCTACAATCTGAACGCCTGGGCCCGGTTGCATAAAACCTGCACTTAAGTGCTCACTTAAGTAGGTCACTTACGAATCCGTTATGGGTACACTTACGGGTGTTGCATGGAACACACTTAGCACTCTCGTAAGTTTCTGTTTTACGTGATAACTTACGGGCTCACTTAAGGGCACACGTAACCTTGCTATAGTACTTTATTAACGATTCACTTTTTTTTTTTTTTTTAGCTAACCATCGGTGAGTGTAAAGAAAGTTAAAAGTCGTTTCCAACACTTTTACTCTCAAAAAATGAAATTTGCATGCAAACGTTATTTTTCTTCAATATCTACTGAAAATGATAGTTCTTCTTCTTTTTTCACAAAAGTGTACATCAGAGGTTAACAAAGCGCATTAGAACGAATTACGTGAAGAAAAATACTTTTTTTCACTTCTCAGTAAAAGATCTCGTTAAATTTAGTAAAAACAGTAACGATACGGGACCTACATAGGTCCCGTAAATTTACGTGCTATTTTTCCCGTAAAAAACGTTTTATGCAACACCCGCAATTTCTGTTGCATAAACGACACTTAAGTGAACACTTACGAAAATCGTAAGTGCAACCACTTAAGTGAATTCCCTAAGTGGACCACTTAAGTGATTTAATGCAACTGACTTAAGTTACGAGTGCACGTACGTGTACCCGTAGTTGTTACGGACGTTTTATGCAACCGGGCCCTGGAACAGGCTATATTTAACAATTATTCTTTGAAATCGAGGTGAATAGTGGCAAAATATCTACCGAGCCACGAAGTGGCGAGGTAAATATTCCTAAAGCCACTATTCACCGAGATTGAAAAGAATAATAGTTTTAGTATATACACACGAAGCGATCTCAACAAAATCAGAGAGGAAACCATTGAAAAGTACGATTTGATTGACAGATCAGGTCAGCTAGACACGCGGCAGTTTAAAAATAGATCTTTGTAGAATTTTCAAACATGGCAATTCACTAGCCTGAATTTCATCCCATGACTTCGAGTCGTTATTACTCCCTCAGTAACGTCTGAATCGACCGGCCGTTAATGCCGTCCAGTGACGTCACTACTCCTTGACATTTGCTTTAATTCATGCAAAAAGTAAAGCAAATGTAAAGTAAGTGGCAAACCGAGAAATATCGTTTGGAAATGTCTGCATGATACAGAATTGCTTTATTTTTTCGATCGTAATTCATGTTTAACGTTCAAACTATCAACTGCATGCAGTACAACTCTGAACCGGTTGTACTGAATTCTATAATCAAACCCGGTCTCAATCACGCAATGAAATAAACACACACGAAACACTTAGTTCAAAAACACAATGATTTGCTTCAATTGAAAAGAAGCTATTTGGTCCTTAATGAAGAAAAAAACAAGAAAACAAGAAAGAAAAGCTAACAGAATCATTACATCTGAAGGTGAAAATAGCAAGAAGGTCGCATTGCTCTTAGAAAACTTCGCGTAAACAAAATTAGCGGCCGCCGAAACCACAAAGCGGCTCTAAATGAAAAACCTACCGACTCTCCGCAATGATTCTTCATTCGCAGTTCAATTTAGCATTTCAGTTTCGAAGACAAGGGCAATTTTGCTGTTTAAGATAAAGATTAAGCTTATCGAAATGTTTGAACTACACGAAAGAATGCCATGCCAGGGATGCGATCCGCTGAAAATCAAGCGACAATCCCGCTAAAATTTTTCATAATTATTCATAATTATGCGAATGTTTAGACAATCAACCAATCAAAATCACTACCCGGTTTTCGGGTAGTGAGTGACGTCACTGGACGGCATTAACGGCCGGTCGATTCAGACGTTGTTGAGAGGAGAAAACGACTCGAAGCAATCGGATGAATTTCAGGCTAGGCAATTCACAAGCTTATAATCACTTCGCAAACAACAGCGTAATGACTTCAGTGGAACCGCTATAAGTTTGAATTGTTTCCTTACCTGAGAAGAAAATAAGAGCTTTGTTGTTTTCTGTTGACTCGCCAAGTTTATAGCCGAAAAGGTTTGTTGTGTCGTTCTTCGCATGAAGTGCTGACAAAAATGGCGATTCGGTTCCTCGAGGTAAGACGTCGTTTTCAATGTAGCATTCTTTCCCGTGTTTACTTGAAACGTAGAATTTCTGCAAATATTTGCTTTCAAATTTGTTTGTCATAAATAAATTTCGTTGTTGGGCCAAATTTTTCTTACTAGGAAACGCTGAGTTCACAAAACGGCCTCTTCTAGGCGAATTTAAACGGGAGTTGTAAACAATCCATCGACCACAAAACTCAACAACAGTAAATGGAAAAACGGCGTTTTGAATCCTTCGAGGTCTTTTCTTGCCTGAAAAAAAGTCAACCCTAGGATTTTGTCGACTTTTAAAAGATATGTCTCTAAGAAAATGGGGGAAAAAAACGAGCCCACACATTATCCACTCGCTAGGAGGTGAATACTGTTGAACAGTCCGAGATAGCGAACCAATCAGGTTCCTTAAATCACCAAGATCGCTGAGTGTGTATATACTAAAAGAATATAGCGAATAGAAGTTCTAGTAGGATTCTGACAGGAGATTAGGCGAGCTTGAGGAACGAGATAAATAACCCGAAAATGAAGTCATGACTGTCTGTTTTTAATTTCTGTGTTTCTAGTTTCAAATGATATTCACCAATCACGGCAATCCAAAAGGAAAATCACGCGTCACGCGTTATGAAAATAGTAAACCGCGCACCCCGGCTGCTAAGCCTGGTCACACCTCACGCAGCTAATGTGGTCCCGATCAGGCATCACGCTGATAATTTGGGGCCATCACGCGTCACGGAAAACCTCTTTGCCACCCTGTTACGTTGGTTGTGTACATGGCGGATGGAATTCAATTAAAAAAGCGCCCCAAAGTTGCGCTTAATTCGAATCATCATCGACGTGCGGGACCTAATTATGATAACAGCGCCCGAAATAGCCGACTTTTGCGTCAAATCGATTGGAAATCGGTCAGTGTAAATGTAAGGACTGCTCTTTAGTGATATGATATTGCCTGCGGAAAGTGTGTTAAAAAATATGCGAAACAACTGTTTCATTTTTCAATGTACATGAGCGAGTTTCGTTTCACGATTGCGCGATTAATTAAATTTAACGAGCCAGTTCAATAATGTAGGGCTGGCGAATGTTGCATAGAAAATCGTAGTCCGATATTTTCCGTCGCGGTGCCTTGAAACTAAGCCTCGAATTTTATAGCAAAGTTCTCTAGACGTGTTGAGAAATGTGCCATTCGTCACTCCTAGATCTAGAGAACAAAGGCGAAATGGTAAAGTACAGGCCAGTTATCTATGCCTCCTAATTATTTCCACAAATTCTATGGTACTGATATGATGATACCCATATCAACACGAGTCTCGACTGCAATAATAAGCTCTATCTTACCCGGCTTTCTGACGGTTACTTTCATTGTAGAGAAAGCCGCCTTAAAAATTTCATCTGACGAGGCAACACAAGTATATCTTCCCTGGTCCTCCCGCTCTTTAAGGTTCCAGATTTTCAAAGTTCCGTCAGCACTGACGCTTGATCTTTCTGCAGGTAGTTTGCCGCCCTCCTTCCTCCAAGTGATTGTTGGTTGTGGATCTCCAGCAGCCTGACAGCGGACTGTGATATTCTGCACTGTGCTCACTTCAAGCTGTGATGGTGGACTGACCGTAAAACGGGCTAACTCAACAACGTTAAGCTGTGTAACAGCCGAGTCAAGTCCTAGGTTATTTGAAGCTTCGCATTTGTACAGACCAGAATCACTTTTTTGAGCATTTTTTATCGACAATCGTCCATCTTTCTGAAGAGTTCTTGCTTGCACCAGGTTTCCAGGATTTTTACGCCAAGTGATCTTTGGTGACGGGAAGCCAGTCACGTAACATACCGGTAAGGTAATGTTTTTGCCCTTAATAACATGAGATGGGCCAAATGACAAGGATATCTTAGGTTGACCTGGAGAGACAGACATACAAAACAAAATAATATAAATAAGAAATTAAACAAAGACGTCACAGAAGACCAAAGCTAAACCAAATTTTACTCACAACGAGCTGTTATACAAAGGAACAAAAACTCATTGTTGTCGTTTTGTTTTGTGCAACTTTTGGTCAATCTTTTATTATTCACTAAGTGAAATAAAAAGTTTAAAAGGAAAACTGTAATTGAAATAAACTAAAAACTTCAAAAGGTTGACTTTATGATTCGTTTACACAGGCAAATTAATTATTCATAGAAAAGACAGTGTGCATGCCATGTCATCAATTATCACGTCAGCTCCATGTTTTTGTTAAACATCGTGCAGAAGATTATAGATAAACCACATAAAAAATCAACATTCTTAACCCTATTCAACCTGAGGGAGCTTTTAAATCCCCCCTTGCGACTGGAAAAGATGCATCAATTTCTGGGAACATTTTTTGAGTCGTCGTGACGTGATCCTTAACATTGATGTTGCCATGGCAACCGAGTCTTCGCAGCCTGGTTTTCCAAAATTTTGCTTAATTTTTCCTATAAATAGGATTTATTTCTATCTTTACTAGCCAGGAGCCGATTGTAATCGGCTCCTGCTATAACATTACAGTTAATTTAGCTATATTTTTTTAATCAAAGTTATTATAGCTGTTATTGTAATGCAGGCTTTTTAATGACTGAATTGAGATAATTAAAAAGAGAGAATTTAAAATGACCAATTCTATTTTTTTTTTTTAGTCTAAATTACCCCCGGAATTTTATAACTTGATGAACTTGTTGTTTCCTAAACATCCTTTTTTCCACAGTTCTTAATTTCTTTTGCATTCTGCTAATAAATTGAACGTCATTGTGTCAGCCAAGTTATGCCTCGGCGTTGGAAATGACGAGCACGTTATTCTCTGTAATTTTGGTGACCGTAGCATAAGCGGTTTTGAAGTTATAAAGGGGACACCTGCGAAGCCTCCTTCGGTCGCTGGAAAGCCAGGTCTAAATAGGGCCGCGTATGAATTCAGTTTTGCTGCGAGAAATCACCGTGAAATCCGCCGAAATGGCAGCAAAACTGGCACAAAAAGCCGCTTTCTTTAATGGACCGTAGAAATGACTAGAACGTACACGTACGCTAATCACTTCGTCTTAACAATCGGTTACTGCTTACTTTCTACAACCAGACTCGCACGTTTTTCTTCCCTTCCCAGAATATTTCGCGCCACGCACTTGTATGCCCCAGCGTCCTCGAGTCGCACTTTATTAATCTGCAGCAGACCTTCTGAGGAGACCTTTGTTCGGTTGCTAGGCAACACGCCGCCTACACGTGACCAAGCCAGTTGTGGGACGGGATTTCCCGAAACAGAACACAGTAAAACCGCAGTGTTACTCTCGTTTACTGTCAGATGAGAAGACGAAACTGTCACTTTTGGAGCGGAAATGGATTCTCCCGGTTCGCCTTTCATTCCTGGAACACCCTGTGCACCAATATCACCTTTCACTCCTTTTTCTCCCCTTATTCCTGGTGGCCCCATAATTCCTTGTTTTCCACTTCTGCCAGACTGTCCCATTATTCCTTTTTTACCCCTCCTCCCCTGGTTCCCTTTGTCGCCTTTGGGTCCATCTCTCCCAGGAGGTCCCGTCAGTCCACGCGGGCAAACGTTCCAGGTTCCAGTGTTTTGACATATCTTCTTAAAGCTCGAGGTTACAACATCTTCTAAGACCTGCTTCATGTTAGCTGACGTATTAAATGGTTGGTTATTTGTGATATGCCGCGCAACTCTACGCAGTTTCTCATTGGTACTTTCCTCCTTGTGCCTTGGTTTCTTTAGGAGCATTGAATTTCCCATGGCTAATGGGGAAAAAAATTAAACGCAGTTATCGATTTATTTAGAAGTGCTTACTGACAAACACATTGCCATAAATCTGGTAAAGTGGAGTATTAAAAAAAACCCTAAATACCTGCCTGTAGCCGCCATTTATACAAGGAAAATATCAGTTTCATGAGCAAAACCAAGAGAGAATAGAATTAAAATTCCATACATTATTAAGAGTACTACTCCAGGGCCTAGATGTTTAAACACGTGTTCAAACTTACGTTACGCGCCGCAATTGATAACTGTCCAGCAGGACCCCCCAGCAGAGTAGGGAAACAATTGCGTTGTCCCTCGGATCTACAGATTTATTTTGAACAATTGGGGCCAAGATATTTTCGCATCGCTTGCAATTTTGCGGAGCTTTCTTTTTCAACGTGCAAGTTTGTTTCCGTAAGCCATCGTCTCTTGCGTCTCGATTTAATAACAATATACGTGACAGTTGATAGCAATGGCCCGCAAAAAGTTGACACGCCATTCCGTAGGGAACGAGTGCACACCACCCACACCAAACGCTCCCTCGTTTCAATTAAATGCGATGAATTTGAAAGGAGCTAGCGCTAATGGGTTAACTTGTTAAGAGACAAAAATATCGTTAAACTTTACCTCCAGCTGAGGTGACCGCCTTTCTATGCTTCGTCATTTGAGAAATGACTTCCTCGACAGCCAACAGCCTTTCTTCGTGATCATTAAACTTCACCTCGACCCTAATAAATCCCGCAGAATAAAGAAGTAAACAGAGAACAGACAGAGCTGTTCCGAAGTTTACTGGAACGGTGGTACCTTTCGAAGACATCTAGTTGTCAAATAAGTGTTGTAAAATGTACGTGCTTGAGGAAAACAACACGCTGTGGTGCTTCCTGTAATTTTAAGCCGCTTATAAATCGAATGTTTCATCTGATGATCGTTCAGAATGTGGAATTTGACCTTCAGCATTTGGAAAATGCAATGACTTACAAGGGCGTCTTTCCTCGAAACTTGGCTTACCCACTGTTAATGGTCCAGATGAAAAAAACAAAAACAAAAACAAAATTATGCAGTATACATAAAGTTGTGGTGTTCGCTAATTACAAAGATAAATCCCTTGTTCTTTTAACGATTAATTTTAGAGCGAAATGCAAGGAGAAAACGAATTTGATGGTGAGATAGTTGGTGAAATATGCTAAAATTTACGATAGTGTTTTTTTATTATCTGATTAAAACGCTTCTGAAAAGACAATACTAATAATAAAAGTGTCTTCCAAAAGAAATCTTAAGCCTCCGACTATCACCACACACCCCTCCCCTCTCGAAAAGCTTACTGACTTAAAAACAAGTCGACTTATCACCACCAAACTTAGCCACTTTTCCTTAAAATTTTGAAGTCGTCTTGACGTGTACGTCAACATAAACGTTGCCATGGCAACCGAATTTTGACAGCCGTGTTTTTCCAACATTTTATTACTTATTACAAAAAAAAAAAAAGCCTGGATTTATTACTATTTTTACTCATTGATTAAGAGCATTACTTTAAATTGTGTCCAGATTGGTCGGCTGCAGTTTAGTAGCCACTGTTGAAGAAGGAAGAATGAGGTTGTTTCCAATTTACCGATGTTTCATTAAATTTATTATAACTGTTTGTGTAATCCATGCTGTTTAGTGACTGATTTAAAGGAGCTATGTCACGACCTGCGCATGTGCAGCGTTTTAGGCTGTTCTGCTGATTTTCTCAACTTTCCGCCATATTGGATTTAACAAACCTGGTCGATTTTTGGCAGCAAACCTCTATTTTCTACATCTTTTGAGGACTTAAAGAGAAACTACAATACCATGTCAGTCTTTCGCCGTTTTAGTAAGCCACGGAGGCGCACGATTCTAGTCAGGTTAGTAATCGCTTCCTATCTATCGATAGATCGCCATGTCACAATGTCTCCAGTACGGAGATTTCCTGAGAGTTTTTCTTATTTTGGGCAACATTTAAGAATACTAGTCTTGACAAACTTGTCGTGTATGTTCTCTTTTGTAGCCGAATCGTATTTACTGCACATGCAAGAGCACTTGCTCGACAAAAAGAACAAGTACTGAAGTGTCATGTGGGCAGGACTGTAAATGTGGGTCTCAGTCAAAGCCGTGTCGAAACAAGGTAATCTGTTCTCGAAAGGTTGATAAAATGTTGGATCTATTGTTGATTTTTATACAAATTTCTTGAAAGAGGTGCAAATTTGCAATCTTTGGAGAGAAAACGTTTGTTGTTTTAGCAAAGGAAATGTGCTGTAATCCCCACGATCTGTCCTGCAGAATTATTATGAGGTCCTGTACTGTGTTAATATATTTTTGGATAAATGCTCACCGATTGTTTTTTTTGGTATGGCAGTATACCTTGTCAGTCTACATTTTAGTGTCACACTTCTCCTCTACAAATGTAGTCATTATACTGAACAAAAATATACACTATTGTTTGTTTTCCTGATATTTTACCTCTCTTTGACAGGACTGTATTCAAACTTTGGATGAGCCAATGGTGCACAAACTGTGTGTCAGAAGTCTACAATGTGGATTAGGGAGCATGGACTACATACATAGTCTGCTAATTATGGACGATGACAATGATAGTGACACTGAGAGTGAGCATTTTGATGTGTACAGAGAAACCCCACAGGAGTCTGAATCCACTGATAGCCAACATGCTTCAGCAGTTGCGGGACCAGCACCTAACCCTTCTGCTGCATCAAACTCACTTCCCTGGTGTAAATGTAGTTTTTGTATTGTTGTGGTCAGAGAAGATGTGTTACAACATTTGCAAGGTTCAGCAAGCTTTGTCTCGACCCAGATGTGTTAGAAATCGAGCAGCAGCACAGTGATGATAACAGTACAAGGGCCTTCAGGAAGGCTGCATACAGGCAATTTATTCTTGATCGTTATGGACATCTAGGGAAGGGTAACAGAAAGGTCTGTCCTTCGTGTGTGGTCAAAACTGTGCGCAGACATTATCCTTCGCAGACAGGTGTGTACATGGGGTACAGACCCGAATGAGACAACCACCATGGAACTGTGTTCTGCATCTCACGAGAATAGCTAGACTTGTATTTCCCCAGTTTGTTCTTTCTCTAGTTCTTCAGAACTTTATTATAATATTTTGTTATTTCTAAGTCATGAACGGAGTCGGCAACCATCTTTTTCATGTTTCCATAACATATCCATTTCCACCCCAAGAAAGGTCAATAATAGGCTTATTTCATTTGGAGGGTGGTTGTAAAGGCCAAATTTTAAAAAGAGAGTAGGGGGAAAACCTAAAAACCTTCACTCAGGGGATTATAGATTATTTTTCTTGATCCACTCCTTTAGTTTGTTACAATGTTATGCTTTTATTGTAAGACATTTACATCATTTTGTGAAGTAAAGAAATCAAAGTGTTACATCAGCTTGAATTTCAGACGATTGCTGAGAGGAGATGACTCGAAGTAATCGTCTGAAATTCAGGTTAAGTTATGATTTACAAAATTTGCAATCAACTTAGTTGTGGTTGTTTCATGAACTGATTTCAAAAATAACAATGCAATGAAATTGTTGTTAGAAAATGTCATCTACAATGGAGGTCAAAAGTGTTGGGACCTTTTCAGTGATATTAGTAAAACTAGCAAACCCTCTCCCCTCCCACCCCAAATAAAGTTGAATTTTGAGCAAATGGGTGGAATTGACTGCTTTATTTGGCCACAACATTGCTGGGGGGGGAGTGGGGGGATGACGGAATTAGCCCAAAGCTGATCAAAAAATTGTCATTAGGAGCAGAGTCCTATGTAACAGTTACTTGGAAGGGCTTTTTCACACAGTCCCAAGTTCTTTTCTCCTTCATTGTAGTTCTTTGTACTATAATACAGTAGCCTGCAAAGAAAGTAGTGTCCCATAGCCCAGGGCCTATGGGTAAGTCAAGTTTTTTGAGGAATTCACATGACAGAATAACAGTGTTAAATCAATTCTGCTCACCAAAAGTGTTGGGGCTAGTTGAAATGACATCTGGGCTACTAAATGCTACCTTCAGCTTCCCCGAAGCTGTGAAACTGACTTTCTTTGCACTCTGTACATGTACGTAAAGTATGCAAACATTATTTGTACCATTTTATTTCGTACATCTAAACTTGTTGGTGTTAATAAGGACTGTTAAGTCAGTGACTGACTTAAACATCTGTAGTGGCCGAGCCACTCAGGCTATCCTCGGTGCAAAATTGCAATCACATAATCATTCATTTTAACATACCCCCCAAAACAAAAGAAAAATTAATAACCTTTCAACTTATAAATAAACATGAACAAATTACCCATTATCAGCAATTACAGCAAAGTCAGCAAGACGATTGAAAAAGACACATTTCAGCCTTTAGGGCAATATCCTACTGATGAAAAGTTCCAACTTAGTTTTAGATATTTTGAGCAACAACAATTTTCCGTCTGTCCTCTTTGAATTTTTATTACTACTTGAGGAATTCTCTGAATGATCTTCAGTACCAGATTGAAATCTGCTCTTACGTGCCATAAAAAGTTCCTTTGAAGGGGGTGCCTGTTTTTCAGCGATGGTGAGAGCCAGCAAAGCAGGGTCGCTTTCATTCAAAGACAGCCGCCTCGTAACACTATCAGTATCTTCTTTTCTCATGTTAAAAATCTTCACCATCATCACTGGAATGTACTCAAGCGTTTTCTTGACTGTGATAATTTTCACGTCCCAATCATTTGTTCGCTGATTGTACTTTCTGGTTACTATCTGCTCTCCTGCTTTTGTTGTTGCTGCTTCAAGGTTCATATGGAAATTCCAATAAATGGCTGCAAGCTGTTTGCATGCTTTGTGAACTTTGTTACTGTAACACAAGTATGATAACAAAAAGATTACTATTCACAGTCCCTTTATTATTTTTGTTTCATAATCTGCATTGTAAAATCAGTCTCAATACAAGTCGTTTCAAATTTTGGAAATTCTTCCCTTTATTGCTGAGTAGTAAGTGCAGCTGAATCCCAATCTGGTAGGTTAGGTTCTAGACTTGATCTTACCAGTCACTGGTTTTGAACCATAAAACTGCCACGCTTTAATAGCTAGCTGGTTGCAGCATGCCAGGTGGGATTCTTTCTTGTCATGTTTACATGTACATTGTCTATATATTATTATTAGTTCAACTGGATCAAAAAGGTCTCGCATGACATTTGACGAAGTGTCAAATTTTCCTCGTTTCACAGGCGTTAACATAATAAACAAACCTGTAAGAGCATCGTTTTGAAGTATAAACCAGTGAAAGGCTGTTGGCACACTTGAGTTTGCCTGTGTGTCTGCAATCAAAGGTAAAAGAACCACTAACCATGAAAAATTTATTGTAATATAATGCATGCAAGGCATTATTGCCATGGAAATGAATGGAAATGCTACTAGGATTAGTATGCAGTCTCCTTTTTAATGACCAATTTCTATTCTCCAAGTAACTGCAAAGAACTGCGATACATTGTATGACTCAATAAAAGTCTCCAGAGACACCACAGGAACTGCAATAAATTATGAAAAACTGGAAAAACAATGTGCATTATCTTGGATGACTCTATTCAATGCTTAATTAAAAATTGATCAATAAATGAATCAATCAAAAAATTTATCAATCAATGAATATATTAAAAATTAAAAATTAAAAATATTAAAAATTAAAATTAAAAAAAAAATTGAATATCAACATGCCAAGAACTGGTTTTATTTAGTTGGTAGTAATATCCTAAGTAAATAAGCTCCCACATCTTGAGAGCCAAAGATTAGACATAAGGGTTGCCTCTCAGCCAGTGTCACAT